CCCATGTTAGTAATGATGGTTTCTATGATTAAACGTGTGTTGTTAATACAGTTTATGTGTCATTTAACCTTCTTCACATACTGTAGACCGAGAACTACAGCTGCAGTCTGCTCTTTGAGTTCAATCATGCTGTATTTGATTAACATTGATAACACAGCAGGATTTCAATGAGCTGTTGAAGACAAAACACCTGCTGTGGCACTGATTAGGATGTGCGCTTTGGGATTCATTGTTGATTTAACTTTTAATGATAAAGTCAGTCATTATCAACATATTGTCCTCTGCATCATTCCAAAATATCGATCATCAGATCTGATATTTTAGTGGGGGAGGGAGTCAGGTGATGTGGTTGTAAAGACAGCAAAACATCAGACCAACTCAGGAGACCGCTGCTTGTTCCCTGTTTCCAACAGACAGTCAAAAACAAAACAAAACAGCATGACCATGATTACACTTTTGTCATTTCATTTGAAGGACGGCTTTAATCATGATATTAACCTACCCTTAACCACACCATGTTTTTATGAACGTTATGATGTAAATTTGTCACCTGAGACACAAATTTGGGTGGATTTTTCCAAGCAAAGACCAATGACAGTCATGACATTAAAAGATACCGTCCACCCCATGCATATTAGCTAATTTCTATGTTTGTTCTAAACAGAACAATCAAGACACTAAAACCATTCTTGTCATGCAACAGCATTACAGGTGGATCTCAGTAAATTAGAATATCATGGAAAATTGTATTTATTTCAGTAATTAAATTTGAAAAGTGAAACTCATATATTATATAGATTAATTACACAAGGTGTTATTATATATCATATTTTAAGCGTTTATTTCTTTTAATTTTGATATAGCTTACAGCTAATAAAATTCCCAAATTCAGTATCTCCGAAAAAAAAAATGTGAAAAAGTTTAATATTGTAGATTCACAATGTCTGACTCTAATCAGCTAAGTAACTCAAAATACCTGCAAATTCAATAGACTACACAATCTTGGGGGAGACTGCTGACTTGACGGTTGTCCAGAAGTCAGTCAGAAGACAGTCATTGACACCTTCCATGTGACACAAAATCCATTCAAGAATTTGGGGGAGCTTCACAAGGAGTGGACTGAGGCTGGAGTCAGTGCATCAGGAACTATTTAGCATTTCTGTATCCTTTTTTTATTGGTATTATGTTAATTCTAATTTTCAGGGATACTGAATACTGGTTTTCATTAGCTGTAAGCCATAACCATCAAAATTAAAAGAAATAACACTGTGTAATGAATCTATAAAATATATGAGTTGAAAAATATATGTTTTTTTATTTATTGAATTATTAAAATAAATTAACTTTTTTCACAATATTCTAATTGAGATTGAGATGCACCTGTACATTGTCTCTATCACACTAACCATTATACGGACAAATCTACCAGCATACATCAGCATATACGAGCACATTCATCCAGTACAACCATAAAAATTACAATTCATGCAGGGCTGTAAACAGCAACACCTTTGGGATTCAGACATTGGCACAGCAGTACTCTGTCAACAATACAGCAATTACACTGTATACTGTTCTTTAGCACTTATTCAAATAGCAAATGGCAAATGGACCTGTACTTGTGTAGCGCCTTTCTAATTTTTCAACCACTCAAAGTGCTGTTTCACTACATGACACATTCACCCATTCAAACAGTGATGGCAAAGCCCATCACAAAAAAACTTTTACAGCATCTAGAGCAATAGGGGTTCAGCATCTTGCCCAGCAGGAGGGGTAGGACATCAAACCGCCAACCTTCTGATTAGTGGATGACCCGATCTACCTCCTGAGCCACAGCCACCCTAGTTACACCCCATGGATCCAGCTCTCAGCAGTCTTGGTACTCATCATTAGTACTTATTCATTACACTTTTGTTGTAAACTGTACATACTTGAATGTCTAATTGTCTAAGCTATTTTCTATTTCTAGTTTCCATTTTCTGTTTTCTACTTCTGTTTCTATTGTTATATATGCACGTGTTTTAATGTTCTTATTATTGTTTCTATTCTTATAATGTATTTGTTTAGCAACTTGAGCAACTGTAACGTAACAGATCTTCCCCTTTATTATTGCAATTTAACTGTTAATACAGCAAACAGCAGCAATATGACTATATACAGTATAGTATACAGCTGGGATTCCCCACCTTTTTCCTTAAGGGGACCCTTTACTACGATTAAGTAAACTAATGGCCCCTGCTTAAGTGACATATTTTATGGATATTCCATATTATATTAAAGACTACACAATGAACCCAAACTATGAACTAATGAATTCTGTCACTCTATGCATTTTATCATTATCCACAATCATCAATCATGATGATGCGGTGTGACTTTGGATAGTGTAGGTAGGCTTAGTTTGTTTTGAACCACTACCCAATTGAATCTTCAAACATGTATAGCTGTATAAGTTTTTTGGGATAACTAGTAGATCTTGTGCGCCTGGGTTACTGTTAAATGTCTCCCCAGAGAACCTTCAGAATTGGGTTGGAACTGCACTATTGTTGTTGTATTGTTGAGAACACTATCTTATTCTCCTCGGTCGAGCCTCAAATTCTGTGTAAGTCATCAAGGTCTTCTGAACTAGTACAAATGTTCATCTTGAGTCTTTCCATCACAATCATCTCCTCGTCTCAGCCTATTGTGAGGAGCGTGGACAGTGTCTTTTTGAAGACATTAGAATGTAAAGTGTAGGTTGTTTAGTTTTCCTATGCTGCCTGTTTGATATTTTGTTTAGTTTTTTTTTTTTTCATGAATCTGACAAGAGTGGGAAGAGTGGCATCGTGTGAGTTGTCAGTTAGTCAATGCAATTTAGTTGTCAGTAGTGGAGTGTGCATCACCTGACCATGATGTGTCCATGAAACGATCCAGTTTAAGAATAAATTCCTTTTTTTTTTTAGAGAATAGTTTTAAGGGGACAAGCTCACAGGCTGTTTTCTTCCATCACAATGCTATCACAGCTTTATGGCACAGAATGCAGGAACATTAAATCTGCAGTAGGTAACTTTTATGAAAATAAATACTAATAGTCAGTGTTTGGTTTTCTCGTTCTGGGCTACTGTAGAAACATTGCTGTTCAGAACTCTGTAGAAGAGGCCTCTGTAGTTAAAAACATCTCATTCTAAAGTAACAAACACGATTCTTATAGTCAGATGATTATACACTAATGAAAACATACCTATGAATACTATATTCCATTTCTGCCAATAGATCCTCTTAAACGTTACACACTGGACCTTTTTTTAAATGGGAAAAAAATGTGTTTATTTGATTGCTCCTATCCAAAGTCATGCCATCGGCCTTTTTGCTTGCAGCTTACCACTGACTGAATGGTCATAATCCACTAATTCATGAAAACAAGAAACATAATTCAAGAGTGTCTTTCTCTGGTGGACAGGCAGTGTCCAGGAGTTCACAAATATAAATACTACATATTACATACATATTAAAGTATACTCAAATAGGAACAAATTGAGAAGCTCATTTATTCCCTTGTTGTTCAAACTTCCAAGAAATGTGATAAGTAAAAGTATTCTGTGCTTCCTTTTGCAAGGGAACCCTACAACCCACTCAGTGACCCCTGTTGGTCCAGTATTTTCTGAAAACCGCCTTAAATGACAGTTTAGGTTTTTTGTCTGGCATTTGCAAAGTATATTCCAGTTCACGTCTTTTGTGAGGATTACAATTTGCACTGTTTCTCATTGTTCTTTACTGTATGTATATTATCGCTAATGCCCTTAATTCATATGCAGTTCCTCCATCGCCTTCATTGTGCTGTCCTGACTGATAGTGATTCCACTGGGGAAACTAGAGACAAGCCAGCAAATCAATATATAAAAGATTTATACATAATATTCCAATAGGGACTTGCTGTATGGTATATTTCATTTTACTTTCAGATCTATTACTATAGATTAAATATATTTCTACACAGACTAAATTCATTATGTGTTAATTTAAAAAACCCTTCCACACACATATTACAACATATATACAAATAGTCTGCCTGGAACAATAATGTGTGTCTGATGTTTTTTCATCAAAAAAGTGTAATTTCCACATTCCACCCTAAAATCTGACATAATGAAAACCATTATTTTATTAAAATGTAAAATTAAATTGAAACTTGATGATTTTCTCCTTTTTTACTTGAACCCTGGTATTTATGGCAATACAGAGATTTTGCATGTCTATTAGTTTTATTTGCTAAAATGTTAAAGTAAAACATTTCGTTACCAACCATTAGGTAGGCTATAAATTATCCTGTTTATTCAAATTAATGCATAAAACATGAATGTCATTATCAAATTAATGCAAAAAACATGAATGTCATTATCATTTAGTATGAGGCACCACCACTGACTTCCAGCGTCCCTGAATTTTGACATTTAAATCCTTAAAAAGTAATCTACTCCTTCTATCGCATTAAAAATGTCAGAGTCTATGAATATGCAAATGTTCATTTCCGAAGTTTAAACCAAACTAAACTTGTCCATTCTCAGTGTATGTACACTGGTGACTTCACGTTTCTACATCACACTTAGATGTTTCATACTGAACCAGAAACTGTATCTGACATGCAAGTTTCCTTTGGTTTAAATGCATTTATTAGCAGTTTATGGTTATTTGCTAAAACTGTTTCATTAATGTTATTATAGCCACTGAGTTGATATGATTCCTGAAACCAGATTACAAGAGAAATCAATGTAGCTACCCTCAATCTAAATATTCTTCAGTGTGCTTTAAGTGTATTAGGAAAATATTATGATTCCTATAATAGATACTGAAGAGATTTCTCTTTAACCTATAGATATTAATGTATTTGTATAGTAATCGTATGGAATGCATCATACTAACGTAAGAAAAATAGGACCAGTACAATGTCATGTGTGTCCCGTAGGAGAATGCCTGTGTCGGGACGCAGTGTGGATCATGTATACGCCCATATCAACTGTAGAGGTCCCCCTTTTACCGGCTGCCGCACGCACACCTTTGTTGCACCTCCTCTTTTGATTTCCATGCAGTGGACCACAGGGCAGGACGGACAGACAGAGGCTACACGAGGACTCGCGTACAGCAGGGAAACACCCGTCGCACGAGCTGAGGGTGAGCTCAAGGAGAAGCGTTAATACTGGCCGGTGATCAGCGTAACGGAGCAGGAGACGCGGCTCCGCTCGGATGAATGAGGATGCTGACGCTGTAGGCTGCGAGGCGTGCCGGAGACATGCGGTACTATTCACTCCCCCGTCAGCTCACACTGTAGTTACTGCGAAGTCCACCCAGTCAGAGACATTCTTCACACTCTCTCGTCTCCAGCTGGGATTTGTCCTTGCTCTGCGCCGGGATGCCTGCTTCTCCTCTCATCGCGCTGGTCCTGGGTAAGTTCAATGCTCGTCCCCCGGCTGCAGTTGTAGTCGCTGATTTTGTACCGAAGAAGACTATTAGACGTGTGGTGTGTGTGTGTGTGTGTTTCTGTGTATGTGTGTGGTGGGGGCTGTGGTAATGCCATTGTAGAGTTTATGATAAGCAGTGTGTTGCAAAATTCAAAGAGTAGAATTTTGCAACACACATGGCATATGCATGATAGCACTGAATAGAAGGTCATTGTAAACTCACTGTGGACCACGTGTCAATATGGCAATGTTGAAGAAATATGAAAATAACATGAGCATGACCTATAACAAAGGTCACTATAAGTGGACTATCATTCCCATCAATATATTATTATAAAAAAAAGAAAAGAAAAACTAGGGATGCATGGTATGGATTTACTTTCAGCCGATACAATAACCGATAATTTCCTGCTTCTCATGGCTGATAAAATAACCAATAATTTGACATTTCAAACTCACAGCCTGTGGTTTTTACACACTTCATGGTAAGACAGGTTAAGATGTAGTTAGCAAAGATGAATGATTTAATATTCTATGTCTCTGTTCTAACCAAATCTGACATGACTATTGTTAAACAACAGTTCTGACTCTTCAAGTGCATTTATTTTTTCTAGTGAAGTTCATATCACAACTTAAACATACTTTGGCTTTCATAGAACATAAAGTCTATCAGGTGTTTAGCATAAGAATTCATAGTAAATTATTATTCTGGTCCGATAATTTATCGACTGTAATTTAATTATCCCAATCATTTTCATAATATAAATGTACCATAACCAGCCGATAATTTATCTGCCCCGATTATTATTGTGTATCCCTAATAAAGGTCACCACTGAGTAGGCATAGGCTGATTATCGGATCGCATATTCAGCATTTTCCGATTATCGGTATTGTTTTTTTCTGGCCTTCCAGATTGGTATTTGGTGGCCAATAAATTATATTTTATATATTTTGGCTCGTCTGTCTGTAATCACCACTCTGTCGTTCTTACTCAATGTCCAGCCCACAGCACTATCTGATTGGTTACACGTCACAGGTATTTCTAAAATAATAATAACATATGCTTAATGTGCATTTTACAGATTCAAATTGATGACATGAAAAATTAATGGTGATATCAATTATGGTATCAAGGTGCAAATACATCACTTTAGTTAGCTAGCACTGCATGTCTGGTTGGTTTTTCAGTGGAGTTGATGAAAAATGGAGAAAGTAAGAATGGCAGCTGGACAGAATTTTTTTGTATATATTGAAATCAAGGAATCCTTTTCAGACGTAATTTTTCCTTAATCTCATTTTGTTAAAAATATCGTGAGAAAATCGCATTGTGAATTGTATCGTATCACGAGTTGATTGTATTGTTACATCCAAACTGTGTTGCTAGTAAAAGTCCTGCATCTGACTTAAGTAAATGTAGCCTACAAAAGTATTAGCATCAAAATACACTAAAGTAATTCAATTCAATTCAATTTTATTTGTATAGCGCCAATTCATAACAGAAGTTATCTCAGGACACTTTTCAAATAGAGCAGGTCTAGACCGAACTCTTTATAACATTATTTACAGAGACCCAACAGTACCACCATGAGCAAGACCTTGGCGACAAGGGCAAGGAAAAACTGCCTGTTAAAAGGCAGAAACCTAGGACAGATCCTCCGGCTCTAGGTGGGTGGTCATCTGTCTCGACCAGTTGGGGTGAGAGAGAGAGAGAGGCAGAGAGAGAGAGAGAGAGGAGAGAGAGAGAGAGCGAGAGAGAGAGGCAGAGAGAGAGAGAACGAGAGACAGAGAGAGCGAGAGAGAGAGGCAGAGAGACAGAGAGCGAGAGACAGACAGACAGACAGGTGCACAGCAACAACAGTAAAGTAAAATGCAGAATGGCCGTATATGTCAAGCCACTCATAACTAGTTATCAAGTTATCAAATAAATTTAGAGTAAAAGTATGAAGTAGCATAAAATGGAAATACTCAAGTAAACTACAACTGTTTTATATTTTGACACAAAAAATTTAATTTTACAGCAAATGTATATCAGTTTGGCTGTGGCTCAGAGGTAGAGCGGGTCATCCATTAATCTAATGTTGGTTCAACTCCCGGTTCGAGGCCTGGCTCCTCCTGCCACATGTCATCCTTGTATCCTTTGATACTGTTGTGTAAAAGCACTTTGAGTGGACGGAAGACTAGAAAGGCACTATACAAGTATAGGTCCATTTACCATAATGACTCTAGTATTTATTTTTGCATTGTGAACTGGGTTCCTGCTTTCTGAGTGAGTGGATCAAACATTTCCTCAAGTCAAAGGCTTGTCAAATGACACAGCAGACGTAGTTTAAAGGGATTCTATTGCAAATGGGATGCCCCCCAGAGCTTGTGTTCCTGCAGTGTTCCTCATCTACTGAATGCACACTAGTTACTGTCCTCTTGCTGGAAACCTCATAACACAGACTCATGTCTGTCATGTTACACTGAGGCTCAGCCAGGAGCTGCCCCACTAGCAAATCATCCCATCCTGGATTTGTTGCATGTGTGACTGAACTTCTCCAACCAACTGAGCCACATTGCTATAGTGCTGTTAGCCCTGACCCAGTTCTGAAACACCACTTTTATTTCAAAGCTGTCAAAGGTACCTTTATATTTCACTATTCAATCTTCATCTTACATCTGATACCACTGTTCTAGGGGAAGCACAAAATCTCTCTTCCCTTCTCATCTTGTGTTTCTCTCGCTCTCCCTTTCTGTCTCGGTCAAGCTGTTCCAGGGCAAAAAAAGAAGAGAAAAATGAGAACTGGATGAACTTGAATGCTGAATTAGGCACTATTCCATTTTGGCAACATGGTGTGGTGTTGGATAAGAAACCTTGCATCTCCATATTTGGTCATTTTAATTTTTTTTTATAAATTACTGCTATTGGTCACCCATTTACTTATATCTGTGGGCTTTACATACAATTAACCAATGAATACTTGAAAACCAACAGTACCAACTTTGTCACTCTGTTAAGGATAGGACGAAATACAACATAATTGCACATTGTTATAAAAAAAAGAAAATTTATCATGGTGATTTTCCATTATCAGAATAATCGTGAATATCCTCACATGGCTTGATTTGCATACAGCATGCAGTCCTTTATTGATTTCCTGATTTTATTTTGAACAAGTGGGAGCACATCTTTCCAGTCATCCCATAATCCTAAACCTGTCACCATGACAGAAGGCTCGGCTTGCCTGTTTTAAGAGAAGTCAAATCAGATGTGTGGAAATAGTATAGATTCCAAAATAAAAAACACAGATGAATAAAAATATGCAATAAGATGTAATAAAACTGTGTATATCAACAAAACGCAAGGTACAGTGATTTCAGTATATTTTAGCAGCATTTTAAAAGTATGAAGTATGTTTTCACGATTATCGTGTTATGTGTATCAATTATTTTGGCCAAGATAATCGTGACATGAAATCATCCTGGAGTGTGTTTGGATCAGGATTTTTCCCGAGAAGTACTGGTTTTACTGACAAAAACATATTCTCACTTTGGTGCAAAGGAAATAGAAATCTACTAAGATGAAAGGTGATATATATATTTTTCGCTACCCTAGAAACCATGCTTGTTTACTTTATTGACAGCACAGCATGAGCAGATCCAATGTGAAATGCACATTTATAGAAAATAAACAAGCCTCTCGTGTGTCTGTATGCCTGCATGCAACTGACACATGAGCACATCCCAGCCTCACGCCTCACCATTGCGACAGCACAGGGCTTTGACATCACAATTAGTCGAGTTGTCCATAGGGTGATGGGGGCTTTCATTAGTTGCATTATGGGAGTGAGTTCGACAAACCATGGCAAAAACAGCATGTTCTTCCTCATGGCGCTGCCTCCTTCGCTCCACAGTTGAAAACTTGTCCTCGCTTTTGCCGGAAATTAAATACAGCTGAATAAATCTGATTGAGCCACAATTTAGATTTGAGTTTGTAACAAAACAGTTATCTCTGAGTGAGTGCAGCCACACAGCTCTATGTATTCATTAACGCACAACATATTTGAGGATGGTCTCATTCTGTGCAGTGCTGACTTTGTGGTGATTCAAGGATCAAAGGAATTTATTTATTTATTATCCAACACAAGGTTGTACAACAAAATGAAAGTCTTCAGTCCCTTGTGCTACTTCTTTCTAAATAAAATTATTTTATTTATATACATACATGAATGCATCCAGGAAATAGTTCTGCAGTGCATTGCTAAATTTGTGTTTGGAGGAATGTAAACAGCAGCAACAAGATGATGATAATATGGTTGGTTTCATCTTCACATAAAAATAAACGGTGTCCACTGTATTTGACTGTATTTGAGCAACAACCATCATCGGCGTAAACACAGAGTCCGCCTCCTGTCGTTCTGTGCTCTGTCAGCTCAGAACACTTTATCCGGGATGTTGATGAAGCAGGTCTCTGTAAAGATGTGAGCACAACAGTTTTGGATTTCCCCTTTGTTTAGGCAGCCCCATTTCTTCCAGATCGGACATTAGCCAGGAGCGCCTTTATATGCAAACTGGACCAGCATGGCTCCTTTCCGTCTCTCTTCCTCTACTCTTGGGATGACAACACCCGCCGGCCAATCTGTCTGGGTGGATCTTCTAAAAGTTTCCTCCACTTTAGTCAAGGACTGAAGTAGGGCTGGGCGATAAATCGATTTTATCGATTAATTCAAATTCGTAGTTAAACACGATTTATTTTTAGTTAAAATCGGATTTCTCTTCAAGCTGAGGCATGCAGCCGAGTGGGAGAAATGTTGCTCTCTGTGAGATATACAGGACTGCAGCCCACAAACAACCCGCTAAAAAACAGTCTATAAAAAAATCTATTAAAATTGTAAATCGGGTTTGGTTTGAAAAAATCAGAGATTTTATTTTTAAGCCATATCGCCCAGCCCTAGACTGAAGACTTTTTGTCATTAGTAATAATGTTTTGGCAATAAAGCTACAG